TGTGTCAGGCTTGCTTCACCACAAAAGGCAGTCTGTGGCATCACATCGTAGCCGAGCATCCCGACGAATCAGAGGCCAAGCAGCCGCCTCGACGCGTCAAGCTGCAAAAGCCGTTGCGCGGTGCCGGAGCCCGCTGTATCGAGGTCATTGTCGAAGATGGCCACGATGCCTTGGCAGCCGACGTCAGCGAAAACGAGGAAGAGCTGGAGGAGCAGCAGCGGTTCAAGCAGCTGATCTCCAGCACCCAGGCCATGGCGTCAGAGGCCGAGGAGAAGCGCTGCCCGCACGGCGTTCACCAGATGCAGCCGTTCTACGATCGTGTGGGCATGACGCTGATCCTGAGCGAGCTGACCCCAGAGCAAATTCTCAAGCTGGGCCACGACACCCCACCCGCACCACTCGTGTCAGGCATGCACGAGCTCTTGTGGGAGGCCCACGAACAATTGTCCCAGCACGGCCTGGCGGCTGCTTCCGTGGCGTCCTTGTTCGAAGATGAAGAGTTGCAAGTTGAGCCACAAACTTTACCCCAAGTATCTCCTGGCACGATGAGCAGATACCTAAACATTGGAGCGCGGCTGGTGCATTTTATACTGCTACTGGACGCACTGCCAGCCCCCGAGCCATCCAGCTTTTTGAGCCAGGTGCTCGCCAGCCGTGGGGAGGCCATAACTACAGCTGCTTTGGCCGTGCAAGACGCGCTGGATGCGGGACTGAGCGGGGAGGATCTTGTCGAGCCCTTGGCGGCTCTGTGGCTGGCACTGGTGAATGCAGAGCTACACCTCTTTGACAACGACAAGGTGCACTTTGTCAACGTGTTTTTGTTGTGCACGGCCGTGTCCAAGGGAAGCGGTGTCTTGCAGGACATCCGGCGCTGGACCACAACGCTGGCCGGCCTGATTTACATTTTCAAGCTGTTTTTGCTCCGGTTTGGCAAGGCACAGCGATGGGCCACTGCGGGTAAACTCAGGCCTTTTCTACAGTCTGGACGGCTGGTGCATTTTCTGAGCCAGCGCATGACGGCGGCTCGCTCTTCCAGCACGGCCGATGGGCAGGTTGGAGTGGATATTGACGTGCAAACGGACGGTGACATGACGGACGAGGCGCTGCACACCATTGTTTGTCAGGGTACTGAACTCAACGTGAAAGAGATTGGGACCGCCCTGGTACAGATGCGCAACGATATGAAAGAAATTTTAGACACCCACCTCTTGCTGGGATCGGATCTGCGAGAGCGACATGCTCTCGAGTGTGTCCGGCTACGGTCGAAGGAGGATCGGACCAACAGGGTCAAGAATTGGTGGGTGGGCCATGG